CCTTCCTTCCTTCCTTCCTTCCTTCCTTCCTTCCTTCCTTCCTTCCTCTTCCCCTCTCTTCCTTCCATCCTTCCCTCCCTCCTTGTCTATACTCTCTTCCTCCCTCCCGCCGTCCTTCCTTCCTGTCTTCCCTTATCTTCCTTCCTTCCTTCCTTCCTCTTCCCCTTTCTTCCTTCCATCCTTCCCTCCCTCCTTGTCTATACTCTCTTCCTCCCTCCCGCCCTCCTTCCTTCCTGTCTTCCCTTATCTTTCTCCCTTCCTTCCTCCCTCCCTCCCTCCCTTCCTTCCTGTCTTCCTTTTTCTTTCTTCCTCCCTCCCTCCCTCCCTCCCTCTTTTCTTTCTTTCCCAAAGAAACAAAATCTTGAGTGAAAAATACAAAAATAATGGGGAACCTCCCCAATACCAAACGGTGAGGAGGACTCTCCCATCTTCAAGAATCATTTGATTAAAAAGGTCCCTTTTCCTTACATTTTAAATCTGGCTTTTGGGGAGCTGGTTTGCCCAGGCTGGGTCTCTACCTCAAATCAATCAGCAAGTCTGCCAAGTCGAAGAAGTGTGTAAATTTGTGAGCACACACTCACAGCCGAGTGCGGCTTTCCATTCCGTCGCACTTGGAGCGACTGGAAGAAAAGAGTCCCATTAATCTAATTCTTGCTCATCTATCAAAGCGGGCCGCGTTTCCTTGTAAAAATGATTAAGCTGCTAATTAAGATGTTTATAACTTGTTTCCCTGGTTGCTAATTATAATTAACATGCAAATTAGCTGAGGGAAGAGAGGCACAGGGGTCCCCAGTTCATTACGAAGTTAATTACTGTTTGCATGCTTAAAACGTTACCGTTATAAATGGTGGCATTTAATGTAATGGACAAGCTGATAATTATGCCAGCGACATTTTGAAAAGTCATTTTCCCTGGGTGTTGTTTTCATTTTATCCCCCCCCCTCTTTTCCTCCTAGGTGATTAATGTTTTTACGCTTGACTGATAAACTTAGTTCAGAACCCAACAGAAGTTGGGCGCAGCGGGGAAAGCAACAAAGTCATCACTTTAACAATCAGTTTTCTTTTCTCTCTCTCTCCTTCTCTCTCTCTTTTCATTCTTTCTTTCTCTTTTTTCTCTCATTCTCTCCTTCTCTTTCTCTCTCTTTTTCCTCTTTCTTTCTCTCTTTCTTCTCTCCCTCCCCCTCTTTCTTTTTCTTCTCTCTCTTTCTCTTTCTCTCTGTTTTTTCTCATTCTCTCCCTCTCTTTCTCTCTCTTTCTCTTTCTCTCTTTCTCTCTCTCTTCTCTCTCTCTCTCTCTCTTTCTCTATCTTCTCTCTTTATTTATTTATGTTGTTTTATTTAGTGTCCTAGAATGATTTTGACTGCTTATTTAGTATCCCAGGACTATCATTCAGTGTTGTATCTTATGAGTCTTGATGAATGTATTTTTTATGGACACCGAGAGCATTTCCACCAAAGACAAATTCCTTGTGTGTCTAATCACACTTGGCCAAATAAAGAATTCTCTTCTCTTCTCTTCTCTTCTCTTCTCTTCTCTTCTCTTCTCTTCTCTTCTCTTCTCTTCTCTTCTCTTCTCTTCTGCATTATGTTCTATTATTTTATTCTATTCTATTCTCTTTTCTTCTCTTTTCTTTTCTCTTCTATTTTCTCTTCTCTCTTCTCTTCTCTCTTCTCTTTTCCCCTCTTCTATCTTCTCTTCATTTTTCTCTTCTCTTTTTTACTATTTTCTCTTCTCTTCTCTTCTCTTCTCTTCTCTTCTCTTCTCTTCTCTT